GTTGCCATTTGAGATTTCCAGATAGAGCAGCAGTTATGCTCTTGAGATCTTTGAGACAGAGCAGCAGTTATGCTCTTGAGACTTTTAAGATGGGCAGCAGTTATGCCCTTGTGAATCATGGTGAAGAGCCACCACGATAAGTTTAAGATGTTAGGGGGATGAATCGTTACGACTTCCCTAACTAAGTTTAAGTTTAAGGAAAGCCTTGATGGCTTCTCATACGTATGAGTTGGCAACCGGACTAGCTAGTGAGGGATCCCCGTGTCAGTCAAGTATTTAAGTCGAGATTTGAGCTTTAAGAATTCAGTTTTAAGAGTTAAGCTTTTTAATAGTGGAAGCACAAAACAACTTCCACTCAGTTAAGTAAAGTGATCAAGTATTAATAAGGTGTTAAACATAAGGGCGTAGACTGACCCCATCTCACTCACCAGTTTGAGGAGCTAGAGGAGCAGTTAGTGAGCAGCAAGTTCGAGGGCAGCCAGCTAGAAGAGAGCAGTATAAGTGTCACGGAGGATGCTTAGTCAAAGATTTCAGTAGCAACAACTTCAGAGATTATTAGTTATATACATTTATGATTATGAGTACAGACTGGAGATTATTCTGAGATCAGTTTGAGATTTTAAAGTTTGAGTTTAATTTGCCCATGTGTTAGGGCTTTGCTCTGAGCTACAAGTGTGTGTTTTCAGTATTTTATTTATTAAAATTGTTCCCAGTCGCCATTTAAGATTTGAGTATTTTAGTTATCAAGGGCATTTTAGTAAAAGTAGTACCCGGCCGGGTTAGGGTGTTACATTTTGGTATCAGAGCCCGGTCTTCCTCTGTTCCTTGGTCTCCAAGGAATACTGGAATATCGGTCTCAGTTTTCAAGGTTTTTGTTTTTTAAAGGAAAGAAAAAAATGAGTCAAGGATCTTCTTTTAAGAGTTTATAGAATCTCCAGTCTACTCTAATCATAATAAGGTGAATAACTATTTACAACACGACACTACGAGAAGGTAGCGCAATGGTGCAATTGGTTTAAGAATAAGCTAGGACCCGAGTTAAGTTATCACGTCGTGGGACGTCAAATAAAAGACTGAGGCGTACGACGATCATGAGTGTGAAAGGAAAGAAAAAAATAATGTGGCCAACTCTTTTAGAATCTCAAGATACAAGGAAAAGGAAGGAGGAACGTTGCAAAGGTCTATGGAGGTAGGATCAAATGTGCGAGGACTTCAACTCCAAGCACCAGCAAAGAGGTACCAATTGAAAGGGAATACCTCAAGGATTTTGAAGGAGTTGAGAGAGTAGTACGAGGATTTACTACTAGGAAACAAGGGATGATCTAATAAGCTAAGACAAACACAGGGGAGAAATATGAATCTCCAAAGGAAGAGGAACAATCTCCAGACGCCAGTAGCTATGATAATAGGATGATGTTAGGGTCTTTGGTCCTAAGCAGTGGAAAGTGGTAAACGGGTCAAGAAACGAAGAGGTACCCCGAGAAGCCCCTCATCTAGTTTTTGTGTTCGATGGCTCAACGCTGTTACATCATAGTGACAAGGAGCAGAGAAAAGCTTAGACTTCAAGAAAAACTAGGGTAGTGTAAATGGAGTAAAGGAGGAAGTAAGTAGGTTATAGGAGGTCTGAAAGGACGTCAAGAAGTCAAAAGGTCAAGGCGGAGAGGAGGTATGGTCGTTTGCATATAACGATAAAGGAACCCTTATAGTTAAACTACGTCACTAGAGGAGAGGGTACACGACCCTGGGGGTTAGGCCGATGAAAAGCCGTTAGAAGGAACAAGGCAAGCAACGAGATAAATGATGTAGAGGTTGAGGTTAGATCAGGCATGCTATAAACCTGTCAAGCGCAAGCTAGAGGACAAGGTATGAGAAGGGGTTGAGAGACCCTCCAAATTACCATGATCAAGGAGAATCAGAAAAATCGTGGAATTTCAAGGAATCCATTGGGAAAGTCTAAAGTGGGAACTAGAGGGCCAAGAGCGGGAGTCTCGGACCAGCCGTAGGAGTAAATCATTCAATCAACCGGATATAGGCAAGCAAGTACAGCGTTCATTAGAAGTTCTAATGAAAGTTGGGGAATTCGAGGAAGAGTCTAAACGGTCGTAAAGAAGAGAGTTTGCGAGCAATACCAAGGAAGAGCAAAAAGGCCAGAGGTATTTTGACGAGATTTCAAGAAGTCAATGGGTCAAGTCTCAGGTGACTCGAGGTCAAGAAGAGGCATAAAGAGGAACGATGAGGAAAATCATTGCCAAGAAGGAGGAAATCATTAAGTTACCTTACCCAAGGTGCCCCACTCTGAGGGAGTACGATATAGTAGGATGTCATCCATAAAAGAAGGTCAGTTAAGGATAAATTAGTGATATTTAGTTAAGCCACTAAGAGCCATGACTAAGAGATTAAGGCTATGTACAAGCATCGGTTGAGACAAATGACGTGAATGAGGTATGTTAAGACCTACCCAAGGAAATCCTCTATTGGAAGCTTTAACCCTAACAATAACGAGAAGATACTCAACGGAGCTTGGTGACCGAAAAATAGTACAAAGCAGCAACGGAAGAGTAGTAAAAGTAAAGAAGCAAGGAGAACACCATAGGACGCTATAGGAAATAAATAAAAAAGTAAATAAAAAAAAAGAGTGGTTGTCGACCGGACAATGAATGCGTGAAAGAAGATAGTTGGGACGTGGTCGAACACCATCGTGAGTAGAAGTCGTGGGTGTCATCTGTCAAGTCTACCTAGAGAAAGTTTCGAGTGGAAATGTTGGCTCTGAGGTATGGCGAGGAGCTACTAAACTGAGTAGATCAAAGCTAGTACCAAGCATCGATGAAGGAGTTGTAGAAGTAAGGAGGAAACCACAAGCTATACTGAAAGTTATGGTGAAAAGGGTGGTAGTTGATAAAACGTCAAATTCAGGGAGAAAGATAGTTAGGAAGATCCGACGAAAGAATACGAAGGTCAACAAGGAGGCGTTAAGGTAATGGCCAGTGGAGAATAAGTTGGACCATAGGAAGCCCAGCAAAAACGGAGAAGCTCAATGGTCAACTTTAAAGTAGAAGTGTGGTGGTCCAGAACGGTCGAAGGGAAAACCTTATCGGTCAAGGTACATAAGTGAGAAGAGAATATGGACACCTAGAGGACTATGTCGCGAACAAGGGACATCTAAACCGAGAAAGGAACATCAAGGAGAAGAGTCACGAGTAACGAAGTAAGAGGGCTACAAGTTTAGTGAACCTTATAGAATACCACAAAGTGAAACCAAAATCGCCTATGCTGGTGAAATGTGTTAATCTCTCAGGTAAAACTCTATCAGACGGGGGAAACTGTATGAGGAATTTCAGTTGGGGCTAAGAGTAGCAGAATGGATAATAAGAGAACTTCAAATTCAGGTGGCGATAAGGAGGTGCTAAGTTAGGCACTAGGAGTGAATAGGTAAGCCAAAGGGAAGTTCATGACTCTTGAAGGGAGTCATATGGTTGTTAGCAAGCTAGAGAAAGATGCAAAGGATGCCTTTAATGCATACAAGAAGTAAAAGCAGTAGTATGAGATTTCAGAGTTAAGCAAGAAGTAACGAGGAGATGACCACTCAATTTATGGTTAAAGGATAAGACAAGGCATCAAGGAAGAAAGTAAGAGATACAGAGTTAGGAGATACAAGGACCTAGGTGACCCATGAGGTCAATCCGGACGAGAGTTACGTTAAAGGAGTTTTACCATCTGACTAGATGGAGGACAAGCCGCCATATGTAACCCTAAGGTTAAAGGGGGTATTAAGAACATCAATAGGGACGTGTAAAGGATTCTTTCATGCTAAAGGCACCAGATATGGTGAATCAGGCATCAAGTGTGTGTATCAAGTGGAGTTATCAAAGAGGAGCATAATGAGCCCTAAAAAGGGAGAAGAAGTGATACCTAGGAACCAGCATCGGAGTTAAATCATTAAGTAGGTCAAACATTCTACACCAAGGAGAGTTGTCAGCAGTCAAGATAGGGTGGACAAAGTTCAAGGTCTGGGCCTGGTATGACCTGAATAGCTGGCTAATAATTTACTTCCTTAAGCTCTTAAGGAATCCTACGTAGAGACCCAAGACAAATCGTTGAGAACAACAAGAGCTACGAATGCCATTACACCATCAGAGGCATTTAAGAAGGGAGAGTGCCTTAGTGCCATAGACTCATTAAGCAAGTAACTAGCTTGAGCAAGAGATTTATGAAAAATGGGGGAGCAATTAGTTGGCGAAGAACCACACGAATTGGAGGAAGGGGTTTATAGCTCCAGGTTGTATAAAGTAAAGGAAGTATAAGTCCTTGCAGCAGAAGGATTACCTCAAGTGAGACTTTAGGTTATCAACAAGGAACAAATTTCGAGGTCGAAATTTTCTTAAGGAGGGAGGAAACATGATACCTCGACTTCGGTAGGTTCAACATCAAGTACTGGACCCAAGTTGGAAAATTTTGAAAAGGGCAAGTAGCCACTCAAAGCTACTCGATGCTAATGAGCTTGTTGGGAATACCCTTTATGGTCAAGAAGAAATAACTTGAGGTGAGGTAAACTATACGGGACAAGCAACGGACATCATCAAGGTTCATATAGAGAGAGTAAATTTTGGGGCAAGGAAGTACAAGAATGGTGTTGACAGAGGAATGATATTCAAGCAAATTTCGGGGACGAAATTTTTATAAGGGTGGAGGAAATGTTACACCCCGATCTTTCTAAGGGTCAAAATGACTATTTTACCCTTGGTTAAATTCATCAAGTTTCATCGTGATATCGAGGAGGACTAAAAATGCGAACTCTCAATTCAAACGGTGTCGAGTTTCGATATAAATCGAATAAGTTACGGACGTTAGTTGAGTTATGGATTAAACTCACCCGTAATTTGTGAAATTCACCGAGTTAGATAAAATCCAACCCTAATCCCATGCTCCACTCAAGCTAATTAAAACCTAAAACCCTAAGCAGCCTTTTAATCTTCTCCACCAAACAGTTTTCCGGACCTGGGATGATAAGCGGCGCATCTCTCCCTACCATGAGAGGCGTGTGCTTAACCAAGGTGGAGGGCAATTATCCAGGACAAAGCAAAGCGGCACCATCGAGAGCTGCTCGTCCGAGGCGGTGGGATATTGGGGAAATCAAACACGCGGTATCGTCCAACGAGCGTTCATCGTCCGAGCGGGATCTGTTCGTCCGAGAGCAAGGCCTCCGTTGGTGCATCAATCTCGTCCAAGGGGGATCTGCCTGCAAAGCGACCCTCTCTACCATGAGAGCTACTTGCTTAAGCAAGTTCGTCCCACCTGTCATGGGTATTGCGCCACAGCAAGCACGAGGTCACTTGCATTTGGGAAGGCAAAAGCGGAAGCAACCATGAGGTGGCATGCTATCGAGAGGCCAACGCAGGAGCCATGAGGTGGCTTCCTCTCGTGAGGACAACGCAAAAGCAGGGCTGTTTGCGGTGGGGAATCAGCCAAAGCGGCTTAAGGTAGGAGACCATGCAGGACCAACATTAAAAATACTCTCTCTAGTACGAGAGGTGTTAGCTTAAGCAAGCATGACCAATATTAACGAGAGCCGCTATGCAAGCAAGTAGGACCATTATGCAAGCAAGCAGGAGATCGATAGGAGGCGGCCATGATTAAGCAGGCAGGAGGAGGGCATTATTAGGGCAAAAGCACATAATCAAGCCAGTTCCAACGAAAGTAAGGTGAGTGTAAAGGGGGTAAATTCTACGCCTTACGTACTCTTTTTAAGTTTGACGAGCCTTAAGTATTTGTTGAAGTGATTGTTATTGCTTGATTGTGCTTATGGTTGATTATATGTGATTTTGTTTGAGCCATGTTTGATGTGATTGTCCATGAGTTTTATTTAAATTTAAGCTTTGAGTTTATAAGTTATTGTTGAAGTTAAGAAGCAAGTCCCTTTTAAGAAGTAACTCACTTTCAAGAAGGTGAAGTTGTTTTAAGTGTTTTTAGTCACTAGCGCCAGTCCGTTGCCATTTGAGATTTCCAGATAGAGCAGCAGTTATGCTCTTGAGATCTTTGAGACAGAGCAGCAGTTATGCTCTTGAGACTTTTAAGATGGGCAGCAGTTATGCCCTTGTGAATCATGGTGAAGAGCCACCACGATAAGTTTAAGATGTTAGGGGGATGAATCGTTACGATTTCCCTAACTAAGTTTAAGTTTAAGGGAAGCCTTGATGGCTTCTCATACGTATGAGTTGGCAACCGGACTAGCTAGTGAGGGATCCCCGTGTCAGTCAAGTATTTAAGTCGAGATTTGAGCTTTAAGAATTCAGTTTTAAGAGTTAAGCTTTTTAATAGTGGAAGCACAAAACAACTTCCACTCAGTTAAGTAAAGTGATCAAGTATTAATAAGGTGTTAAACGTAAGGCGTAGACTGACCCCATCTCACTCACCAGTTTGAGGAGCTAGAGGAGCAGTTAGTGAGCAGCAAGTTCGAGGGCAGCCAGCTAGAAGAGAGCAGTATAAGTGTCACGGAGGATGCTTAGTCAAAGATTTCAGTAGCAACAACTTCAGAGATTATTAGTTATATACATTTATGATTATGAGTACAGACTGGAGATTATTTTGAGATCAGTTTGAGATTTTAAAGTTTGAGTTTAATTTGCCCATGTGTTAGGGCTTTGTTCTGAGCTACAAGTGTGTGTTTTCAGTATTTTATTTATTAAAATTGTTCCCAGTCGCCATTTAAGATTTGAGTATTTTAGTTATCAAGGGCATTTTAGTAAAAGTAGTACCCGGCCGGGTTAGGGTGTTACAGAAATGGTATATAGAGTTGGAAGATGGACATGGAGAAGACTGATGGGGTACCTTTACCAAATCTTTCGCTGCTTCCTCTATCGTATGCATATAATGGCGTATCTTTTGCGCCATGCATCGATATTCGATATCAGTAGCATTCAGAGAGGAGGTCTGGGAATCCAACTGGGGAACAAGTGCTCGGTTATGAAATGATTAGTCACCAGTCATCAACGTTTAGCAGATGCTTCTATCGCCTCTGAAATGGAAGAACCAGACCCCCGGCAATGATGTGATTACTTTGTCATTATGTTATTAGTACACTATATCAATAACTTGTCATTTTGTTACTCCCTGATGGAGCTTTTCTTGTTGTGATGTTTGAGATTATTGTCTTGGCTTCATATATTGATTGCTTAATTAGTGCATTTAGGGCTTTCTGTAGCTAAGTGCTTTTTTTCAGTTGGCAAAAGCATGGTTGGTGTCATGACATGTGAACTAGGTACCCTGGAATGATTGTTGTACAAAAATTTAAAGGTTTGGGACCTTTTGCAGCATGTTCGATGGGGATACAGGTTAGCAGTTTAACCCTTAGCCAATGAGTATGATGCTTCCCATACCAACTTGTGATTAATTGCGCGATTGTTTTGTAGGAATGTATTGCTACTGATCATACACCATCAGAGAACCGTGGCATGTAGCATCCTGATGGAATTCTATTAGGTTCATTGCAGTTGCAGTTCCAGTTTGCAGGCTTAAGCATAAGCTGAAGCAATTTTCCATTGAGCATTTTTCCGTTGCTCCAGGGGGTGGGACAACAGTATCTCAGCGCATGGTGGAGATGTCAAGAGCGAGAAATAAATTATTTCTTGAGCATTAGCAGCTCGTAATGGGATGGTATAGTTATGAGCAGTTGAAGGGAGACGGCAGTAGAATGGAATTGTTTATGTATCGTCGGTGATGTATTTGTTTCCCAGAAATGAAAAGATTGAAATATGACCAATGTCATTGTCTTCGTCTTCCATTCCACGAACTGTTTCCTTAGGCAGCAGGACTCAAAACTGAGTTTCTGGTGGAGCTTTGGTGGATTCCGGTAGAACAAGTTCATTCCTTCAGATCTTTTAATTGTACCGAGTATGAGCTCTACACGATCACAGGGAAGATGGTCTAATATGCCTTCTATGTTCGAACAAAATACAATCTTGCTATTTTAGCTGGCTCGTGGAATCAAAATCAATACGCCAAAAGATTGAAAGCAAAAGCCTCTATGCATATAATTGATTAAGGGAAGATGACAGAACAAAAATGTATAACTTTTTTATAAAATAATAAACAAACCAAGGACTACAATGTTCAACATGGAGGCTGAACTATTCTACAATACCCCCTACCCTAGCACAATTATCATTTATCACTGCCTATGTATAATCAGAAGGGAGACTGCCAAGAACAATAAAAAAAACATTCAACAACGTTACTGTTGCTATTACTATTACTATTACTAACAAGAAGCAAGGGATTGCTTTTTTCCATTTCCTATCTACTTCCCTGCAGCTACAAACCCCTCAAAAAGAACAACCTGAAGTTCACTTAATTGTTCTACATTCCAATCCTTACTAATTCGACCATTCATCAGTTGCAGGGGAAGTGACCTTGTTTCTCATCAAGATTGACTCACTTGAAGAATTGGTATCACAAGCAGAGAATGGTGAGTAGAATATGATTTGCATCTTCTTCGCTACTTGTACACAATGCATAACAACTTGGAAACGAAAATCCTCTTCTTTTTGACGCGTCATGTGTAAGTATGCTCTTCTGGTAGGCTGTCCACATAAAGATACAGTTCTTTAATGACACGACTTGCTGCTAAATAACTCTGAGTGGGAACTGGGAAGCCTTCGGACACTGCTGCTTCATGATTAAGTATGTCATTCTGAGGATCATCTTCCATGAGCTAAAGAGGGTTCTTCTGATCCTGCAAACAAAATTAACTTATTACTTCACTATAAAACAATAATGTAATCCTAATATAATATGTAGAGAGGCATACATTTTCATTCAGGTTGCAGGTGTGTTAACTCTATCGTCTCCCCTCTCTATTTCAAACAAAACTTCAAAGATAAACAAAAACTTTACCACCTGTCAAAGAATACAAGAATATCATATGAAGAATCATTACATGGAAGCTTTTTGATTAGTTGGGAAAAGCTACTCCGCCGCACCTCCAGGAGCTTGGTTTCGACGATTCAATAAAAGACGAAACAGATGGAGAGGGACGACGTAGAGGGTGGTCGACCCTCCTCTTTGTTGAGGAGGGCTCGACTGGTTCTATGGCGACGACGCTGTTCGTTGAGGAGGACTCGACTGGTACTACGGCGACGACGCTGTTCGACGGATACAGAGGGACGGTCCGGATTTTTTTGCTTTTGTTTTAAAGAAAGAATGGAGGAAACAGAGAATAATCTCCTTGGCGATGTTGCAAAGATCCTGAGACTGAATCGATGACAAAGATCCTTCTATAGAGTCTGCCGGAGAAGGAGATCGATGCCAAACTGTTTCACTTTTCCTTCGTGATTCTTTTCCTAGGTTTCTGGAGAAAAAAAATAACGAATAAAACTGAACGAAATAATTTGGGAAGATAGCGAAGTGAGAAAAAAAAAAGCAACGGAAAGAATTCCGTCTGTTTGGTCAAGTACTGGTTCAACCAAGTTCTAATGGGAAGTTAGATTTGGCCCGGGTTCTAGAACTATAGGAATGCCACATCAGTTCCACGTGGCCTAATAAAAATCAGCGTCACCGGTGCCGCACATTTTACTGCGGCACCATAGTACAATATAGAAAAGAAAAAATGTCCATAGGCCCCACAAACAATACTCTACTTGGACAGGAAGCCCAAGACAACAGAGCCCAACAATGGACATGATTCCCCAAACCTAGTCGTAAACCACTCCCCTAGAATCATTCCTGCCACTAGATGCAACACACAAAGTCAAACCCGAGCAACCTAGGAAATGGCTAATGGACCAACACCAACGCAAGAACGAAAAAGGTGGAGCAGAGACGGAGCCAGGGTACTTGGTTAGGGGAGCGTGATTTTTTTTCCAAATATTATATAAAAATATATGAGAAATTTTTAATTACATAAAAATAATTTATAAAATTTTTATATATAGCCCACTTAAAATTGTATCAAAATCACAAAAATAATAACTTATCTCTTCTAAACTCATGATAAAACCATGTGTTTCATACAAAATATATTTGCCAATTTCATAATTCACAAATTCAAATACTGTCTAATAATAAAATAAATTAGACAAATTTAACCGATTATAAATACAAAAATGTGATTTTTTTGAAGATATACGAAGCAATCTGTAAACAAATCGAGAAAAGATATAATTTTTTAATATAAACTAAATTAACTTTTTTTAATGAAACAAAGACAAAGTTCAAACTCTTATATATCTCATAACAACCAAATACTACATATATTAATATATTAATAGGTCTCATAACATCCAACATTTCAACTACTACATGCATTGTATTCTTATTGCATTTTCAAATATTTTCAGAATATGGAAGAAGGACTATATGAGGTCCCTCCTCAAGTGGGACTAGAGCCCAAAAGCTGGGCCCTGTCTGATGTGGAGAAGCTGCTAAAAATACAATAACTGAAATAAGCTTAAAATTACTAAGCCAGGAATCGAAGCCCTATCATCTCGGACAAACCTTATATCAGTCGAGTACTATAGTCACAAATGTTTAAAACGATAAAAATGTCATATACGTATCATGATATAACAAAACAATCATTTTATCTCTTTTTAGTGGTATTTTCATTCAACAGTGCAAAATTGATAACAAAATATCAACCACTTAACCAACCTGTGAAATTGCTTCTTATTTAGAGCAAGCAAACTAGCAATGGATATGCATGGAATAGCTGTTTTGTTACAACATGATACTTGCATGACCTTTTTGTAAAGATTTAAACGTTTGTGACCATTTTGTTACTTGGTCAAACTGTGTGACCATTTTGATCAATTACCCGACATTGATATATTGATCGGTGCATATTTAGGTAGCCAATTCGTGAAGCGGGAGCGAGAGTGGAAACGGGAGGCGTCATATTTAGGCGAATTCAATATTTAGAGCGTTAAGAGAGCGTCATTATTATATTATTATTATATTTATATCTTAAATTTGTTAATACTCAAAACCATAAAAGTGAAAATTCGGACAAACAAACTTCAATCCCAAAACTTAAAACTAAACAACCTTGCCCCAATTCTTATCGTAGTCCATACGCAAACAAGCCCACTCCTAAGCCCTAACCAAGTGGCCCATTTTGAAATCTCCACCTACTAACCCTACGTCCCCACTAGAAACCCATTCTCTAGATAGTTGGGGAGCAGTGAATCTGCTTCCTCTCCTCTCAATCTCATATACCCAGAATCCTCCCCAAAAGGCCAAAATAGAGAGTCGTCCAACCATTATCCTACAAATTCCCACTTCCACTAGACACTCCCACCTTCCCCGCCGTCTCCACCAAGCTCCCCGCCACCTGCGCCACAAGAGCCACCAAAGAATCGCTTGCGACTACACCCTTAACATCATGGAGATTGAACCTAAATTTCGAATCCTCAGACAGAGTATCGTCGTGAGGAGGGAAATCAAACGTCTTCAGCCCTTTCTCCCCGTACAGATTACAGATCCGCATCTTCTGAGGATCTCTCAACACGTGCTACGTTTCAGAGATCTGCTTGAATTTCGCCTTCATCTCTTTCTTTTTCTTCGGATTCTTGTCTCAATCTGTGTTCCACGAGAGATCGCGCTCCCAAATTCTGAAAACGCACTCTCAAAAAGTAGTTCGCGAATTTTTCACGAACTCCCCAAAAATCGCGTTTAGCGATCTAGAGCGGGATCGTGGAGGGTGGATAGGCGAATTAGGTTACCTAAGTGCAGATAGTACATTCATCCAAGTTTACCAGAGAGAACGACATCAACCGAAACTGATAAATTGTTTGGTGTAGATAACAAATTCATCCAAATTTGCCAGAGAAATAACAATAAAGCAAGTTCAACAACCAACGTCAACCTAAAGGGAGAAAGCATGAAAATCGGCAGGGTAGAAGCTAGGTTCCCTCCCTCCTCCTGTTAGATCATAGATGTCTCCTCCACCACGATGTCTCCACCACTGGAGCTTGAGATAAATTTCCGTTGCAGCAGCACCTATCATCATAGGGAGACAAATTGTTACCCAACAAAACTTAAGATCTCTTAAGTGAAAATAAATAGTATGCATAGGAGCTGTTTCGATCCAGCCTTCCCACTCAGTTTGGTGTCTATTCAAATTAAGCATGAATTCTTCAGAGACCGGTGTCGTATCAATGATGTATTCTGAAAGAAGTGCTGAAACAATGATGAGAAGGATGTAGAGGAACAAGAAAGGCGGCAATGTTGGTTAGCACAGAAGACAAATACCAAGATTAAGCAAATAGTTATAGGGAATGAACTCTGTCTATGAGCTTGAAACACTGAAAGCATCATAAGAAAAGCAGAAGAAAACAGGACTGGAAGGAAACAGAATATGAAAGAAGTTGGTGGGACACCTTTATTGATGAGCCAAAGAGATCAGTAAGGTCACATAGGTAACAGTATTACTTACAGTACATAAAATATTAGACCAAACTCGAATTTGCAAATTCACCTTTCACAAGTAACCACATTCTTGACTCGGACATTCAATCCATTATCCATGACAATCTGCTCATCCATCACAAGGAATCCCATACATATTGTGTCCTCTATGCAAAAACAAATATTTGTTTTTGAGTGCTTAGTAAGTCGGATATAAAATCGGCTGAAACTTCCGAGTTCAACTCTCATTAAAACAATACACTTGTAAAAGCAAACTGGGCTTGATAGGAAAATATAGAAGATTCATCCAAATTTAACAAAGAAACGACAATAAATCAAATACAACAATCAATCAGAAGAAAGCTGGGGGAGTTTGACGGGCAAAAAGAGTTACCTAGAGGAAGAAGGCATGAAAATCGGCAGGGTAGAAACTAGGATCTGAATCTATATAGAGGCGCTTTTCCAGAACTTCAACATTCAAGTGAATACCACCACCAGCTTTCCCATTCATTGATGATGTTGCAACCTTCTGTTTAGATGCCTTCTTAGATGCCTTCGTCGCCACTGTAAGAGGTAGAGATGATGCTGATGCTGGTGGCAAAGAGAATCTCAAAACTGTAAGCCCTACAAGCTGATTGCCTGTGGTGTAAACTAAACAGAATGTGCTACTCAATTGGCGGTCATCATCATGCTCCTCTTGTAGTTCAATCACTTGGAAAGCAGAGACCGGAAGACGCACATCATATGCTTCAGGGAGTAGCTGCTTGTGCAATTCATAGCCTGTCTTGCAATCAACCAATGCAACAAAGGCACCAGCGTCTTCAATTTCGCCTTCGAAGCACTCAGCACCCACGACGACAAAACAATCCTTTTGCAGTTTCTGGCCACAACCCACGTCTACTTTGAGTTTCAACATTGACGACAAGGATTCAGAGCCTAGTGGATACCCAAACTCCTCCAATTCCCACTCTCCAGTAAGAGCATCAAAGGCATATCCACGAGTGCCTGCAGATACATAAAGCTTGTGGCCAATGACACCCAGCTTGAACTTGTAGCAACCACTGCATCTAGAATAGTCAGGGGTGCCTTTCTGGTAGAAGGGAGGAGTGGGAAGTGGCCTCCAACGGCACTGATCGATAGGTCTGCCATCATCCTTTTCCAAAACCACAAAGCAGTGGGTGGAGTCACTCGGCATTGCAGCCTTATTGTAGCAATGATCTCCATAGAGGACATATACGCTGCCATCAATCTTTGCAACTATCGGAGACGGCATAGGGCTGGGCAAACGAAGATAAGCTGGGAGCTCGTGGAGGGTAAAATCCGGAGGATTAAGAAATTCATAGACTTTGTCACTTGGTTCAACCCATTTCTCCCAAGGATGCATATTTTCAGAAAGGAATTCCGGACGTAAGTCCCCAGTAGTTTCTCCGCCGACCATGTATGCTTTACCATCAAACGTGAAGACCCCCATTTCTAGTGGGAACTTATGTTTGAAGTAATCCCAATCACAGACAACAGTTGGCAATAGATATTCAAACTCACCAAACCTATCGGCCACTTTTCCGTCGAACTGGTTTCCATCGATAAGCTTGAAAGCCTCAATTCCCCAAATCCGAGCAGTACGCAAACACCTCAGGTAAAAGTTCTTACCTCTCCAATTCTGATCATCAATTTTTTTTTCGGGGAAACAATCCTGATCATCATCATCCCCCAGCGCGACCGGCAACTTCTTCCTGTCCGCCTTCTTGTTCTTGCGACCTCGGCCCATCGTCGGCACAACAAAGTATAGGAAAGCCTTGAATCTGGATCTCGATCTCGATAACCCTATTTCCGAATCTCTTCCCAATTATATATATATATGGTTGTCTTAGGGTTTCGCTCACTCGCAAGTTTAGTAGCTGGGCTTTCTCGGATGAGATACCATGACGACACTACCCGATGCCTGACGGCGCGGGAGGGCAGAGGCTAGGATGGGCCGATGGGGCTGTTGTCTAAGTGGGCTTAGCATTATCGGTTGAACCCAAGTCTCGGCAGTCCGTGTGACGCCCCCGCATTTGTTCAATTTTGTCGGCTTTTGAGTCAATATGTCGCAGAACGGCAGAAAGTTCAAGATATCAGGTCAATATTTGCGTTATTTACCGGTATCGTGGTACTGGTATCCAGGGAATTACATTTTCTCGTTGGAAGGAGTTATGATGCTGATTGTATAAGAGTTAGCATCGTCCTAACCTAGAAGTAATGAAGGGCTATATTGATAAATTTAATAAATAAATTAAATTTTAATTATTTCTCTCCTCCTTCGCAAAGAACTTTAACAGGAAAAAATACTAAGAAATGACTCGGTCACAGGACAACAACAAAAAAACGATGAGAACCTGTGATCAGCGAGCTGCTTGGATGCAACTCCCTACAGCAGTACAACCTAGGAAAGCAGGAGAAAGATTGAATAAGACGGAAAAAGAGAGGCAAAGCGGAAGGCGGGGAACCGTTGCGGAAGGAAATAATAGTAGAGAAAATTCACCCATCCACTTTACTGATAGCCGAGACTTGACGGAGGAGGGAGAGAACTGGAGAGAACGCGTAAACGAAATAGGCCAAAGAATTGAGTTGTGCGAGGTTCTGAAGGGGGAGGACAGAGGAGGTGAGAGCTGAATGGAGAGGAAATTGGGTAATTGGGGCCAATGTTCGCTTCGACGAAAACTGTAAAGCAGAGCCCGCGCGGATTCCGAGGCCGGAGGATGGATAGGGAGCATGGGCTTTGGCGTTTGGAAGGAGCTAGCGAGTTTGAGAAGCAACCCGCAGAGGGGGACTGACGGAAAGGACTTGTAGTTGTCCATCCAGGAAATTGGGGGAAAAGGACATTAAGAACTGTATGTACGAAGGAGACGAGGGAAAAGGGGTGCAAAGCCGAGTTTCTTTCCCAGCACAAAGATGAACCATCTGTGAACCGGAAACAAAGGGAAGATGAATGTAGAAGAGGTGAAGAAGAGACAAAATAATGTACAGTAACATTGCATTGTTGGCCAATAAAGTGTACCCACCATTTATGTTTTAAAGAATTAGACACTTCCCACTTTTTGATGTTTACAAAATCAGTAGTTAGGAGCAGAAAGCTAATAGTTAGAGTCTGTTTGTATTGTTTAAATAGGTTAATAACTTTGCAAACTTGATGGAATTCGAACTCTTGATACTGTGACTAGGCCTGTCGGTTCGGTTCAGTTCGGGTAACCGAACCCGAAAAACGCCAAAAACCGAAACCGGACCTATGTTTTGCGGGTTTCAGGTACAGGAACCCGAAAAATACACTGGCGGGTTTGTTCGGTTCGGGTGAACCCGAAACCGAATCGGTTTGATTTTTTTTATAAATACTTTTGTAATTTGAATTTTATATTCTTTTGCTTGTACAAACAATTTTATTCTTATTATTTGTACATTCTTATTTAACCATTATGTTTAATTTTATGGGTTTTACCAACAAAAAAAATTATGGGAGGTGGACAATATAAAACTATTATAATTTGTACATTCTTGCTCTAATGACGGTGGATCTGCTCAATGACTTGCTCTAATGGCGGATCTCCTTTCCTCCTGAAGGAGTTTGTATTGAATCATAAGTAATAAACAAATGAATACGTTTCATTCTCAGAGGTCCCCTGCAAACAAACTACCCTGAAGAACTCTGTCTTGGACATGAACTGCTCTGTTTCCCGTATTTATATTATATTTTTCCTCGAACCCAATTGGAGCAGTAAACCTCGATTCGAATCCGATCTTGATCTCGTATGCCTCCGGCTGATTCAATACAAACTCCTTCAGCTGCAGCAAGTTCCCACGGAAAACAAATGGAAAGAGAATGAATCCCAAAATCTGATTAAGAAACAGAGGAAACAGAGAAGGAGAAGGAGAATGAATACCTTCTCCTTTTTTCCCTTCCCACCGGAGTTAACAAGTCCGGCGAATCGGAACCTAAAAGAGATGAGAAGTTTGGCTTACCGGAGTACGTTTGACGCCCGGTCGAAGCTTGACGAACCCGAAAACGGAGCCCATTGTCCGCTTCATGAACGCTTCCTGGATCTGCTCCAGCTCCATGCCGGACATGTCGGAGGGCGGAAAGGAGATCCGCCATTAGAGCAAGTCATTGAGCAGATCCGCCATTCGGGTTTGTATCGGTTTTCGGGTTACATAAACCGAAATCGTTTTGTATCTCATTTCGGGTTGAAACCGAAAACCCGAAAACCGAAAACAGTACTACCAGTTCGGGTTCGGTTTAACCCGAAAACCCGAAACCGAAATCCCACCCCTAACTGTGACTTGGGAACTTCGTCATGTTATCAATCACGTGCCTCAAGTGTAGTGACCATAAGTTCTTACTAATCAGGAAATGGTTAAGACAGTCGGATCGTTTTAGTTGTGATTGTGAATTGAACATGAACATGTTTTGGTTAGATGGAAGCTCAGCTGAATCATACCAAGACAGAAATAGAGGATTACCTGAGCAAATGTGCATTGGAAGCAAAAAGCATGGTGGAAACCATCACAAACGAGGCCCATACCTTGGTGTTGTTGGAAAAAGAAGCAGCAGCTATTCTGCATGTACATTCTTTTCCCATCTCCCATTATATTATATTATATAGAACATGAAAGCGGGGTACACTTTATTACATCAACACTTCTATTACTGTTTCATTTTTTGGCGTTTTGTGGACTGAGATTAAAAGGGCTTCCCAATTGACAAACACCATTACACCCCACCCTTCCTTTTCCGTGTTCGGTACATCAACTCATCAGCTACAGAGTGGCCATACTTTCTTTCTATGTCCTCCTCCATCCCTTTCACGACTTTCACCCCAAAATCCACAATCACAATCCACCGGGATGGGTTAGCATGCTAACCCCTTAAGGGGTTGCAAAATGACACCCCCTTGTTAATTGGTCAATTTTCATTAATTATTGACTAGTATTAATGAAAGTAACCATAATAAATGTTCTGTTATTAAATACAAAGTAAGCATTAAATACACCACATTAATTACTCGTTTTAAAAAAAAAATCTAAATATATACAAAAATAAAATTCTCTCTCTCATCTTTGATCTTTCTCTCTCCTATCTCTATTCTTCCTTTCTGAGCAGCCTCCGACCACCAAGTTTCCTCCGACAGACTCTCTCCGGTCACCTGCGAAAATATACCACTGCACTTATATGTTGTACCACTGTACTGGTATTTGTACCACTGCACTGATACTCATATATGATATTGGTACCAGTGCACTGATATCGCTACCAGTGCAGTGGTATAGCTACCAGTGGCTATTTGATGGTCTCGCCTGTCGTGTTTGGATCACAGTTTTGGGCTCAGTAGGCCGCCTGTGGTTCAGTGCTGGGCGGACAGAGATATACAGAACGAGGGACGACCAGTCGAGGGAAAGTCAACAACAATAAGATGATTCTTTTTACGATAGCAGCAACCTGGGGTTCTACAACTCAACATCAGCTCTCAAGCCTCATTCTGTAAGTGCAAGCCCCACTTCTCTTTTTTCCCCTTCTACACTCTTTTCAGTTTTGATTTGGTTTTTTTTTTCCAGCCTGAAGAAGTTGTTGACTGGAACAACTGGCCTACACTCTCAAGACCGAAAACTGATTTACAAAGACAAAAGAAAGGTATTCCAACGCGTTCATGGATATAACAGGGTTAGAGACATGTCCAAAATGGTTCTGCTTGAAGCCCATATTGGCCAGGAGAAGCGCTTCCTTGAGATGAGAAAGAATGGCAAGATGGAGAAATCTTTGTGGTCCATTTCCGAGATCAGCTTTGAAGTCTACTGCCTCTCCATTTTCTCTTTGATATTCTTCCATTGGTTGTAGGTAATTCGATTTGCCAGTTCTCATCCGAATGTCCAACCTGGTTGCTTTCTTATAGATTTGGACTCTTGAATCAGTAAATAGTATAGGTGGGAATGTAGGAGGAAATGAAGTTTTCAGCTTTAACAAGCTGTTGATGAATGAGCTGCTGAAATTGGAGAGGATTATAGGTCATGGAGATGCCAAATTATAGGGGAAATTGCAGGGCTAGAAGTGTTTAGATTAGTTTCATGGCACCAAGAACAAAAATGCCTTGAAAGGTGTTAATATTCTTTTCTTCACAGATGGGTTGAAAGGTGCTTACTTCTCTATTGATTTTCTTGATATGCTCAATGATTTATTTACCATTCACATAATATGAGACTTTGTGTGCTTGCTGTATCTACTGTTTATTTCATTTAAACAAAATTACCATCATTGCTGCTCAGTACAGGGTCCTGGAGGAGTTGCAGGATCTTTCTGCAATTCAGAGTTTCAGAACCTCTTCCAAATTGATTGGAGTTCTCTCATTGCTGGGCCATCTAGCTTACATATAACCTAATTATACATTTACCATCATTTGCTTTTACAGGTCGGGACCAGTACTATAAACCATGCTTTTGCTGCTGCTACAACGCTATTTCTTCGGAATGTAATTGATTTACTACTTAACCATTCGGGAACTGCAGTTCATCACTAAATGTAAGTTTGTGAACCCTTTTCATGAATTTTTTGCTCAAATTATGTGTTTTTTAATCCATGTTTAAATACTCAATTAAATGGATCCGTGTTTGGATGTCAACTCTTTTCGTGAATCCATGTTGTTCCATTCCCCGTTGTTTACTCTAGATCAGTTTGTCATTGTTTCGTAGTCTAACTTTTTCAAGATTTTATACAAGCTCTAATTAAAACTTCTCTTAGTTCCCATCAGGCAAGAAATACACCATCACCAATCAGGCATTGATTGAATCCTACCTGAAAGATGGTCAGGTATAAGATTCTCACTTTTCAGAATCCATATTAAGTTTACTTTATATGATTTGCTGCGAGAAGTCATGATCTGATAGGTAATCAATTTCTATTCCTTTTTGGCTTGCTGATTATATGTAGAACTTTCCAGGATAATGCGAATCAAAAACTCTTCTCATAGCATGATAGGTTTGTTCAGTTCATGAGTATGGATCAAGAGCTTCTCCATCAGTAAGGGACATTAAGGACCTGCTATTTTTTCTCATCATTAATGGTCATCGAGATTGTGTAACCGACAGACAAGCTGCTGAACATGTCAACCAGTAAGCTGAATCCTCTTTCCTGTCACACGCGCAGTCGCATATGCTTTTCAATGGGTTGGATTTAAATATTGATTTTAAAAGTGTTTGCCCTCTGGTTTGCCGTTACCATTTCAATTTGACATTTCTGTCTGATCTTCTTAAGTTCCTCTACATTCAGCCTTCTTCCGGTAATGCTCTTTCTCTACAATTGATGGATACCTTTGCCTCATAATTGTAGTTAACAGGATCTAGAAAATTCTGTGTATAGTTGATGTTTAATTGATATGGTTAACTCCAGTAAAATGTGTTATTTTTTCATTTCTCCTTTCCAAGACCTTGCTTAATTTCCTGTCATTTATGGGTTCATGTGTTCTCAACGATAGATTTCTGCAACATAATGTATATGGATGTGCTATTTGTTGACTAGAAAAAGAAAACCTAACAGCCCCAAGTCTGCTGTAAATCCTGCCAAACCACCCAATAGTTAGTAATTTCAGCACTCTCTCTTTTGTTTTATAACATTTCACAGGAAATCATCTGTATCAACAGTAGCAAATTGCCAGCTAACAAACAAATACTAAAAGCTTCAAGAACCCTAATCAACTAACAAAGACAGGTCTTAAATGGAAACAAATGCAGCGGGTGTTATCTTGCATCAACAATGACAGGTTCCCAGCTCACAGTAGCAAGCTTGTTCGATTAGTCCCACTAATCCGATCCTACTACCCACGGCCACTTTCCAAATTAAGTCTTGGTTTAATTAGTCAGCTTGCCAGATTAATCTGAGACTTTGTTTAATCCTCCCTCTCTGGCTTCATGACGTCTTTACTTCATAAAACTGCTCAAAGAGATAAGATTCATGAATTACCTGTGAGTACCTTGCTACTAATTCTTGAAACTACCAAAGGCCTGCACTTATATGTGGCAGTGGCCTAGAGTGCACAACAAGGGCAAAATACGCATCTTACCTCTCAAGCTCCCATGAGTTTTTTTTCTACAACATACAAGGGGTAATTTGATTGGCCCAACATAACTAAATATCCCGCGGCTTAGCAGCGGGTATTGATACTAGTGTTGTCTAAACAGACGGTCAAGTTCTTGCTGCTTGGTTGGGTATGATGGAGTCTATTCTCAGACAACCCACAAATCAAAGTTAGAGAAGTCCTTGGAATCCAGAAATGCGAGAGGGGATTGGATTGCTCGATCATTAACTATTTTTCACTCATGTTTGACTAAATCAATATTCTAAAGCTGATTTTACTGTATGAAAAAAAGACCCCCACACCAACAGAACGCTTTGACAGTTTGTCACTGAAAAGAATAGCTATAGCTTCCTGCTCTATTGACTCTCTTGTTTACGCCACTAACACATGATGTTCTTCCGATCTGGTGTTTTGACTTTTGAGTATCCGAATTCAGCTCCGAGGTGATTTTTTTCCTAGTTACGGCAAATGTGTCATCCCAGAAAATACAACTAAATCTGCCTCTGTAAATTAGAACAGAACCAGAAATTAAAATCATCACATGATTTGCTTTTTTACTTTCATAACAGATCTACAATGTTAGAAGACAACATCACAATGTGTACAACACAAGAAAGAATTTTGAACAGGCGGGCTGGCTTGGCCGGTTCAAGAGATCTTGAACAGAGGAAGTTACAAGTCTACCCATCAATCACCGCAGCATGCATGAAGCAGGGCTAGAAGCTGCTGCTGCTGTTCTCTCCTGTGAAGCACTCGCAATTTCGGCGACTTTGGCTTTGTTGCTACTTTGCAAGATCTGTAAATATATAACGCACCAAATGAATCAATCAACCGACCATGAATGCACGTACTAAGATCAGAGTAGAGTCAGCTGGTCTCATTTCTTTTTCTGCTTCTTACTTCTGGGGGCAGAAGGGGTGCTCGAAGTTTGGGACTGGTCTAGCATGAGGTACCATTGTTCTCCTCAGCTGCTTCAATGCCTTCTCTTCCTCAATCTGTTCACCCACCCCATACATTATTCAGCCATTATTAGGAATCATTGTCAACCAAAATAGCAAATTCTATAAAATGTACCATGACTTAAAGGACAGGACGGACGACTTACCATCTTTGCAGCTTCACTTTCCTCTCTATATCGCTTATACATCATTTCCTTTTGCTTCACCTGATAAAAACAGAAGGCAAAATAATATATGAGAAGCCAAAATTTAGCTAGCTACACGTTTAAGTCACTTTGACACGCTGAAGGTGGACCAGAGTGAAGCTTACCTTCTGATCAAATTCTTTCCTGTCTACTGCTCGGTGATCCACATGAAGATGGATTTGTTGAACCTCTGTAAGAGGTATCCGCACCTTCTCTGGTACTGGAATGGGATCCCTGTTACAATAGGAAAAAGAATATGACTGACTGCTTGCACTCACTTAGAGATAAATTAAAGCAGCAACAATCCCTATTTACTTTTTGAGAACTGGCTGTGCTTTGAATATCCTCATCTGGGCTTCTTCGCTCTCCTTCCTCAGTCTGTCCTCCATTTCCTTCTGCATTTCTTCTTCATGTCTCACAAGGCTCTCCAATTGAAATGGTTCAGGTCTTGTGGATGGCTTGGGGTTTGGTCTTGGTGGAACCTGCAAAATGAAGACCAACTGCAAAATCAGATTCCGGCAGAGATTGAAAAAAGTCTACCTAGACACCTTAAAAGGGAGTAGCAGGAAGCAACATGTTGATGGATGGATGATATCAATTACCACTGGATAATCCGTTGTGTAAGGATACGGAGTTGCCTTCGGGACCCTAGCAAGTTCGTCCTCCATTTTCTTCCTCTCCAGTTCCATGGCAAGCCTCCTTTCTTTTTCTGCCCTTCTTTCCTGAAGACAGGACAAGAAATAAAAGGTTGGCCATATGGTAACAAGATTCATTATCTGGGAGTTGGATTGGATTAATGTGCCAGATGCTTTCTCATCTTCATGAAAAGATTGACCAAATACCTCCGCGTGCAAATGGAACGGGTTTGGTGCTGTGTTTCTAGGAAGCAGATGATTGTCCTGAGATTCCGAGTTCAAGGAAAGCTGCAAAGAGTTCATTGATGAGTCGAGTCACACTTTATAGTTTCAACAAGGTATACAAAAAGTCTACAAAAGAAACCTACCTTATCAAACATGTCAGCAACAACAGTGGGAGGTGGAATTCTCTCATCTATGGCAAAGTGGAATTCTTTAGGTACCGTGACCTGCTTCTTGGTATTACAGAAGATCCCAAGTTCTCCTTTACTTTCAAATATCTATACAAGCACAGATGTCAAGTAGGTTAGATTAAAAAGTCTGATGCATCTTTCATAAAGCAGTACTCAATTAGAAGAAGTTAGATACCATACCTTTTTGTTCAAAGGCTTTGCCTTGAACTTAGAAATCTTCTCGAGAGCCTCTTTCTCAAGTTCAAGAGTACTTTTAACCTTTACTGGACGAGCTCTCAAAGAGGTCTGAAGCAATGGAGTTTTAGGTTCGGTGCAATGAGGCTTCCATTCATTGTTCTGCATTGAAGGTGACAGATAACGGGGAAAACAGAATGAGTACATTTGAATGAAGTTTTTCTCGGTAAGAATTGACATCATCGTTGTGGAGTGGTTACTACGTACCTGACGAGAAACTTCTGTTGAGGCTACTGATGCTGATTCTGCATTGTGAGTAGCCCTAACTGCTGTCTCAAGATGGAACTCCTGGTAGAATGAAGGAAATTCTAAGTTAAGCGCCTTAACCAAGTGAGTGGAAACAACAGGCCAAAGGAACCATTATGGCTGGGAGACTTGCCTGAAACTCTGGTGCCTGTGGTGTACTTCTTGGTATTATTGGTAGAGTTGAAGCTTACAGAATCTGTTGGGAGAATCCAGTGCATGAAGAAACGAATACAAAATAATGCAGCTGTAAGAGAAACAACGAGAAGAAGCAGAAGCTAGTATTATTGTTACCTTCTTGTTTACTGGCCTAGCTTTGAATTTTGGAATTTTGGCCAACATCTCTTCTTCAAGCTCCGCACTACTCTTAACTCTGACTGGACGGACCCTCTGAGCCGTTTCAAAAGCCGGCTCCTTGGGCCTTGTAAGCGTGAGCTTAGGTTTCCCCTGAGTGGCAGAAGCACAATCGTCAACCAAATTGACTGGGACCGAAAGAAGTAAAACAGGACAAGCTTAGATTGTATCGTTACCTGTGGGATAGGTAAAGACAAGTCCCTAGTACTGGTTTGGAACTTCCTCATCATTTCTGCCGTCGAGACAAAAGGAGCTTGCACAGCTGTTTCCCGAACGTAAACCTTAATAGAAGGATACAAAGAAATACAGTTCAATATCACTTCGCTAGAACTGGATCAGGGCGTGGTAGATTATCATTTGTTCATGGCTGCAAAAAGCTAACCTTTCTCTCCTCTTTCTGCGTTCTGTTAGCTACACAGTTTGCATTGCTAGTTGAAAGACCCAGCTTGGACTTGTGGGGTAATGGTTGTGGGGGTCTAACATTAAGAATCTGAAATTTCCATCGACGGACAAATAGTTAGTTAGAACCAGCTTGCGTGAAAGTTGAACTTGAAAAGGGGGAATGTCAAGGCAAGCAACAGTCACCTGTCTGGATTTCCCGTCTTCAAGCTTCTGCCGTTTGATGGCCTGGTTCTCCTGTGCGAAGGAGAAAGCTCCAGCAGGATTGTTTGTATTATTATTACCTCCTCTGTAAAGGAATCCAGTGCAACTCATGATTAATAATGACTCAGACACAAGAGGTTTAAGGATAGAAAGATCACAGAATTATGCCTACTGACTTTTTCAGGCTTGACTGTGGTTTGACACCTTTGATCTGGGAGGATTGTGCTTGACTCTTGGATTTTAGCACTGATGGATTCTTAACCAAACTAGCTATGTGCCTGGCTGATTGATGCTTCTTGGAGCCCGTCAATGCACCTCCTTTCTGTGAATGCAATGATGGCTGCGGCGTGCTGCATGCCTCGGTGCTGGTTTGCTCTTTAACTTCAGCAGATTCAACTTTCATGGAAGTAATTCTGTTTCAAACAACATATATAAACTCATTAACGGCATTGAACGTAATCCCCATTAGCCATCAGAGCAATCTGTTGAGGAAATAAAGCATTTAAATCCATAAAAAAGAGTACATAAAAAAAGAACCTTGCATGTTCTTGCTTATGAATAGTTGCTTTCTCTTTCTGCTCAAAGAAGAGAATAGCCTTCTCCACAACGCCCTCGCAAGTATCATTGCCAGCAGGTAACTGAAAGGTGAACCTTGCATGTTCTTGCTTATGAATAGTTGCTTTCTCTTTCTGCTCAAAGAAGAGAATAACCTTCTCCACAACGCCCTTGCAAGTATCATTGCCAGCAGGTAACTGAAAGGTGTCGGAAACGAGTGTATTAGAACATAATAAATATGGTGTCCACATTATCATTTGATTCTTCTACACAACGCCCTTTCAGCAACTTACCACATTCACCTGGCAGCCATTGTTTTCCTTGTTTGCTGCTGCTTCCCTTGTTTCAGCTGATTGCTTGTCTTCTCTCTCAGCAGCAGTTGACTCTGAGGATTCTGCAGCCTATTACAGAATATGAACGTCATGAAGCCTTATAGACAGTCAATTTGGCTTAATAATCACTTGATCAACGAGTGAAGGAATCTCAATCAAATAATGACCTACCTTGGGGATTTGGTCAGCTTCAGTAAAATCACACAGGCTATTAACCTTGAGTGATCCTGCCAGTCCTAATTCTTGGCATAAAAACTGCAAAAACGAATCATAGAACAACAAAATCATCAAGACACGGTACAGAGCCTTCTGCGATTTTTTACCCTAACCCTTGAGGTTAACCAGTAAACCCCTAATTCAAGAATTCAAATTAAAACCACACCCAACCTAGCAAACCAGGAGCAAAAAATCAGTGAATTCACAAACCCCTAATTCAAGAATTCAAATTGAAACCACACCAAACCAGGAGCAATCAGTGAATTCACAAACTCCTGAAGACTGAGCGAGCGTGCGAGCAATGATTGTTGTGTTTTCCGACTAATCCAAGAACGATAAAAGAAGAAATAGAGTGGGAGAGTTGGAGAGAATTGTAAGGAGGGAGGAAACGTACGAGAAGGGGCGTGACTGGGAGCAGTGTCGAACCAGAGCTCCGCCTTCCTCATATCTTCCTTAGACTCCGCTTTAGTGAAATCGAAGAACCTGGGAGCGGAGAACTCGTATATCTCGTCGATCACTGAAGAGACGGTGGCAGTGCCTCCTTCGGCCGCGCCGGTGGGATCCTCAGTCGCCGCGGCAGCCATAGTAAGTGGGGGCTGAGGAAATTGAGCGAGACGTTGTGGGAAGGGAAGCCGGGGAGAAGTTCAGGAAGTAAAGTCGGAGAAGAGTTTTATCTGTGTCCGATGGAGAGTGATGAATTTTGGGGGCTGGGTAGTTTGACTTTGACGATAGAGGGGGCGGAGGAGGAGTGTTAAGACTTGTCAAGTATAACTAGCATCCTTACCCGCGCGCCGCGCAGGGATAGGTGTTGTATTTAGGTTCATTGAGAGAAAACGATAACTCCTAATTTAGTAGATAGCACATAAATTGTTTCATGAATTTGTTACTTTCTTCGGTTTGTTTTTTAATTAATATATATATGCTGGTATCAGCACTGCTAAAAAATGCCAGATTTCCTAGCATGCATTGGGTAGCCACCACACTTTATTCTCCGTAGATAACTGAAACAAAAATGGGGGAGAATCGGATGATGCATTTGGCTACTATAATAGCTCAAACTGGAAAATTCTGTAGTTATACCACTTTTTAGAGAAATATGTTGCAATCAAATAGAGAAAGCAATAACAAAGGTTTACCTTTAGGGGTCGTTTGGAGAACAGGATTCGGGACATGGATTCACTGAATCCATAGATTTTGTAGAAAGTTATATTTTTTTTGTTGCTTTTTATATTGTGGATTCTAGGTTTAGAGATTTCAAATCTCTAAAATATGTGGATATCAAATCTCTCATAATCAGAGAGATTCTATATCTTGATTCGTAAGATTTTTTCTCGTAGTTTTTCTCTTACTTTTATTTATTTATCACATGAAATATATTTATCAACAAAGTTTTTAATATTTCTTAAACCACTATAATTTTTTTTATCAAGGATAAACATGTTATTTAATATAAATAAAATTTTAATTTAATTGAATGTTAACTATCACAGTTACCAAACAATAAACAATTTAACATTTATTTTCAACAATCCGAAGAGTTAGAATCTTTAGATTGTTGACAATCTGTAGATTTAAACTCATATTCTCCAAACGACCCCTTACAATTAAAAATGGCCGCTCAAAAACCCTAGAAAAACCAGGCAGCCAAGCTACCTAAAAAGAGATGGAAATTATGCCAAGTACCCACAGTGACATAAGTATCACACTGAAGTTCGAATAACCCACAGTTCTTAAAAGAACCCATAATAGTAACCATTTTATTAGAGCTTGATGTTCAAATTACTAACAAACCACATATATTCATTATAAATACAAACTGCTAACAAAAAACTGCCAAAATGCAACCTCATGCCTACGTGATCTAGCGTGCTTCTATACTGCATCTAAACATAACCAGAGTTCCTTTTTCTATGTGTAAGGCCCCCTTCTTTAAACCCTTCAAATCTGAACATATACCACCCAAAGAACACGACATGGGCAGTCTCCAATGTAACTGGCATTACAGCTAACGCAAACATAGAAGTTAAAAAAATGCAACATAAGATTTTTCCAAGCATCAGCGGGCATTAATATATTTGTAGTAACAGTTTAAGGAACATTCAAAATTAGAACAATCCATCAAGATATATATAGAATTAATTACGGAGAACTTGAGATTTGCTACTCACAACAGTAAGATCATAACACAGCCAAATTTGGAAGTGAAAGAAAAGAGGAGAAGTAATAGAAAAAGCAAGAGATAGGGAGCTCACCGATTGATATGACCATTCCCTCCACTCTTCCCGTATCGAACCTTAAAGATGATAATATGAACTTTGTGTGAGGGTTTTGGAATGCAGTACCCTTACAGAAGAAGGGCTGCTGTGGTTTCTATATATACCACGATTGAAAAGTGATAAACAGCATAAGCAGTAGTTTGCCACTTGTCAGTATGACGTTGGCTATTACAAAACAAAACAGTGTTTAATTAACGGCTACTTGAACTTTAATAAAACGACCACGTTTCACATCTCTTCTCTTCATTTGCTCAACACGACATCGTTTCATTCTTCTTTCTTCACAGGTGCTGCCAATCCTTCTGCATCTCGGATTCATCTGCTGATCTGCAACCTTTAGTTCAGTTGACACCCCCTTCAAGTTGTGGATGTCATCTTGACTCCCAACTTGTCAAGCAGATCCTTCAGTCTCACTCTGTCTACTGCCTTTGTGAATAAATCTGCCAACTGGTTAACAGTACTTACATGGTGCAATTTAATCAACCCCAACTTAATCCTTTCTCTTGTAACATGCATGTCAATCTCTATGTGTTTCGTTCTTTCATGAAACACAGGATTTTCTGCAATATGTATTGCAGAACGATTGTCACAGTATATTGAGATTGGTAATGGTACCTGCACACTCATCTCTGCTAGCAGTTTCCTCAACCATTGCACTTCACAAGATAACAAAGCCAATGCTCTGTATTCAGCCTCTGATGATGACCTTGAAACAGTATTTTGCTTCTTTGTTTTCCAAGTCAGGAGTCAACTGCCCAGGAAAGTACAATAACCAGAGGTCGATCTCCTTGTTTCAGAGCAACTAGCCCAATCAGAGTCACAAAAACCAACAAATTTCAGATCTGCCTTGCTGCTGAAGTATATCCCTTGTCCAGGTGAATTCTTCAAGTACCTAAGCACTATGTAAGCTGCTTGCAAGTGTTCACTATGAGGATCCTTTTGGAATTTTCAAAGTTGTTGAACTGAGTATGTCAAGTCTGGTCTGGTGATTGTTATATAGTGTAATCTTCCTACCAATCTTCTGTATGATTCTGCATCTTCTAGTCTTGTACCTTGAGTAGCTGTCAATTTGATCTTAGGATCTGCTGGAGACTGACAGCCCTTTGCCTCAATGTATCCAGTATCCTGCAACAAGTCCATACAATATTTCCTTTGGCAGACTGAGAGCCCTTCTGCATTTCTTGTCACTTCTAGTCCAAGGAAATACTTTAGAGGTCCCAGTAACTTCACTTTAAACTCTCTACTCAGTGCCTTCTTGACCTGCTCAATATCAACTGGTGCATCACCACCTACTATAATATCATCTACATAAACCAATACAATCACAATTCTTCCTCTTATCCACTTAGTGAACATTGAGTGGTCTGAACTTGATTGTGAGAATCCACTTTTCAAAAGGAATCCAGTCAGCTTGGCAAACCATTGCCTTGAAGCTTGCTTTAATCCATATAAGGATTTCTTTAACCTGCAAGCAATCTGTCCTTCTTTTCCCAACAGTGAAACTGGTATATCAATACCTTCAGGAACCTTCATATACACTTCCTATTCTAGGTCTCCTTGCAAGAAAGCATTAGAAACATCCATTTGGTCCAGTGTCCAGTTTTTAACTGCTGCTATTGCCAATAAAGCTTTTACTGTGTTTATCTTAGCAACTGGAGAGTATGTATCTAGGAAATCAATCCCATACACCTGTGTATAACCCTTGGCTACCAACCTGGCCTTATACCTCTCTACTGATCCATCAGGTTTCAATTTGATCTTGAATACCCATTTGTAGCCAATCATTCTCTTACCTGGTGGCAATAACACTATCTCCCAAGTTTGATTTTCATCCAAAGCCCCTATCTCAGCTTCTACTGCTCTTTTCCATTCAATAAACTTCACAGCTTCTGCATATGATCGTGGTTCCATCTGAGACAAAACACTTAGTGCATACCTTTTGTCAACCTGGTTGAGATGATCAACATGGAAACAAATTGGATGTCTGCTTGTTGTTGCCACAGAGCCAAATCCACCAAACTTCAGTCTAGGATCAAGTTCACAATCACTGTATTTAGCTGGAAGTTGATGTTGCCTAGGTGGTCTACCTGTTGGTTCCTCAAATTCAGCTTGAGGTTCCAGTTCAGGGTCATGTTCACCATAATGAGCAGAAGAATCTTGGAATGGAGATTCAGAATTGGTTGCTTCAACTGGGAAGTTCATTGGAAGTGCTACTGTTTCAGGGGAGGTCTGCCCCCCATCATCAGAGGGTGAATGAGAATGAGAGGGTAGAGGGACTTGGAGTGGTGGAGAAGGTATGTTAGGTGAAGAAGAAGGTGAGATTGATGGAGAACCAGTTTGTGGTTCTGAAGAGTTATGTCTAAAGGGAAGAATGGAATCATGGGACACTACATCCCTAGAGACAAAAACTCTATGGTCATGAAGGTCCAAGAGTTTGTAATCTTTTATGCCTGGAGGTATTCCCAAAAGGATACACTGTCGAGCTCTTGCATCAAATTTAGCTCTAGCATGACTCAGTGTACTAGCATAACAAAGGCTACCAAAAACTTTCAAATGACCAAGAAAGGGTGGTTTGTTGTATAAGATTTCATAAGGTGACCTATTTTGTAATACTGGAGTAGGTATTCTGTTGATAAGGTAGACTGAGTGTAAAACACAGTCACTCCAATATTTGAGAGGAAGACCAGATTGAAACCTTAAAGATCTTGCAACATTTAAAATGTGCTGATGTTTTCTTTCCACTCTTGCATTTTGTTTAGGGGTTTCCACACAAGACATCTGATGCTCAATCCCATTCTCCATATAAAAATCACACATACTGAATTCCCTTCCCTGGTCACTTCTAACTGTCTTGACAGTTTTTCCAAATTGATTTCTAACCAGTTGACAGAACCCCTTAAGCAACTCTCTTGCTTCACCTTTGTGTTTCATTAAAAACACCCAAACTGCTCTAGAACAATCATCCACAACAGTAAGAAAATAGGCATAACCATCATAAGAGAGAACAGACAAAGGCCCCCAAATGTCAACATGGACAAGTTGGAACAAATCATTTGCAGTACTAGTGCTAACAGGAAATGGAAGTCATTTGTGTTTAGAGAAATGACAAACATCACAGTGGGAAATCTTAGAACTAGAAACAGTGGAATCAGTTTGTTGTAAAAGAGAAATCCTATCACTACTAGGATGTCCAAGTCTCCAATGCCAGAGGTCAAACTGGTGTGCATTGAAGTTGAATGTGGTGGCTGCTTGTGGGAGTGAAGGAGTACTCATTTTGTCTTGAAATGGTTGGAAAGAAAGCTGGTATA